TTCTCCCAGTAATACAATATGGCGGTTACTGGATACTATACTGGAAATCAGTAAATGGGAACACACCCTCTGTCTAAAAAAGTACACATGGGTTTCGATTTTGCAACTTTGCAAATTTCGCAAACAGAATGATTCTGTGATTGGCGATACGCGAATCCGCTTACGCACGATTCGCTGCATGGGACGTCACCCTTAGTCGTCTTGGAAAATGGATGTCTGTACGCAATTAAAACGGAAAAAAGATTTGTTAACAATCTTATTAATTATACAACGATGGAAAATTAATAAAATAAAGCAAAATCGATCTAAAAAGAAACAAAGACTATGGATTAGACCATGCATTCGTGAACGAGAAATAAGAGGTGAAGCTTCTACATTAGTACAAGAAATGCATCTTGGAGACCTAAATTGGTACTTTAATTATACTCGAATGACACCTAATACTTTTGACAGACTACTCCACTTAATTAGACCAATTATAGAAATTTCCTTTTAACCATCCTTTGTGTCCAATCCTTTCCGCGGCTCGGGAGTGCGCGTCGCTCTCGTGAGTGAGATCGTGCGAAGCGGGCGTAACAATATGCTTCTTTATTTACTTTAAGGATCAATTTTTTATAGATATTTAGCATCTGGCGATTTGATGGCATTACTTGCGATGTCATACCGTATAGGCAAAAGTACTGTTTCTGGTATGATACAAGAAACATGCGAAGCTATTTGGGAAGTTCTGCAACCTCAGGTTTTAGTACAACCCTCTCAACAAGATTGGATAAAGATTGAAGATGAATTCTTTAAAAGATGGAACTTTCCACATTGCATAGGAGCTATTGATGGGAAACACGTTGTAATACAAGTATATTTATTAGTTTATTATTATATATAAATTATTTGTGTAATAAATAATATCGTTTTGTTTATGGATTCATCCGTCTTCTTTATTTCTGATATTACAGATTGTTGAAGTGATAGAAACTCATCTTCTTTTTTTCTAATACTCTGACGTCGTCTTTTTTCTGTTGGTGCATCAATAAATACATACACATAAATATTTACTAAATTATTTGAAATAAATACACCTAAAAGGTACAACCGCTCGGTAAGCAGGCTATTTAGAAACCTATTTAAAAAATTGTTGTAACCTTTCAGGCCTTGAATATATGTACGTATATTTGAAATATACAAAAATATTAAATGTAAAATGACCAAATTCCATATAATGCAAAATAATCATACCTGGTACGTTAATATTTTTTATATCTGTATTGTCAGTACTTAAGACCTGCACATTTTTTGAGAGTTTACTTTCTTCTAATTCCATATTTTGACGTTTTAATGAATAATTTGATACTGTTGATCTAGAATAAGCTTGATTTTGGGAATCGAAGTTTTTTGGAAAAAATTCTAGAATTTCTGTATTACTTGTACTAGAACTTGATGCAGAATTTTTTTCTAAAAAAGTATCTTTTATAAGTACTACTTCTGTAATTTGATGGAGTAACACATGTAGAATTTTGATCTCTCTCTTTTAATGGTTCTTTTAAATAACATTTATTCTTGTTGGTAGAAGGTATAAATGGTTTTATATTACTAAATGTCCTAAAAGTAAAATCATTTAAACATATTAAATAATATGTATATTAAAATATATTAAATAACAATTAAATTGATAATTACCATATGTGATAATATAATGTAATAATATTTACGAACTTTCGACGTGTTACTGTTGATCGTAAAAATCCCATTAACTCAAAATATGGCCATGATACTGGCTTAGGTTTGACTTCATCAGCACTTCCACTAGGAACACATTTATTTTGCTCACTTAACTTTCGGACATAAGTGTCTCGTAGATTACGCCATTTAGAACATGCTGTATCAGGATATAAATCTTAAAAAAATATATATATGGGGCATTCTTTGCCAAATCGATCAAGCCTCTGTCCAAAATTGATATGGACGGATTTCAACGTTTGAC